CAAGGTCCAGCTAAAATTCCTGGTTCCTCCAAGATATTTGTCCAACCTACTGTCCTCTCTCTCAACAGTATCATTTATTCATTTGTTCCATATTGGGAAGCTTCTCTGTGCCAGGCCATGTTCCAAAAGCTGGAGATGCAAAAATAAACAAGACCCAGTCTCTGTCCTCAAACATTGTGCTGGATTACCCAAAAGACAAATTAAACACATACTTGGGACACTCACAGAGTGAAAATTATTTGAAAAAATAAAATATTCGAAGACAATAAACTTACATTACACTTTAGCATTTGTTTTAAAGTATATTTTGGGGGCACCCTGGGTGGCTCAGCAGTTTAGTGCCACCTTCAGCCCAGGGCCTGATCCTGAAGACCCAGGATCGAATTCCACATCAGGCTCCCTACATGGAGCCTGCTTCTCCCTCTGCCTGTGTCTCTATGTCTCATGAATAAATAAGTAAAATATTTTAATTAAAAAAAAAGTATATTTTGGGAACGGTCCTCATAATCTTTTCACTGTTAGTTTCTGAAGGTCTTTATATAGTCCTACCAGTTTATTGGGGGGGGGGGAATTCTTTGTATTTGAGAAAGATCACTGTTGGCTGCATAAAAGAATGGCTTGGAGGGAACAGGTGATTGTGCAACTGGAGACCAATCAGTTAGAAGGCTGTAATGCAAAAGAAAACGATGGTAAAATCAGTTAAGTTAAAGTGTAGCTAGAGTTGAAAGATGTGGGAAAAAAAGAGAAATGAAGCAGGGAGAATTTATCACTTTTGGTGGTTAGAATATGTAGGATAAAGAAGAGGGAGTTAGAGGATAATTCTTGTTTTCTGGGTTGAAAGACGAGGTACATGATGGTGCTACTTATTAGGAAAAGAAGAGAAGAAGACTGGAGTTTGGGTTAAAGAAATGGATGGGTTTTGTCTGGCTTCTCCAAATATAAATGCCCACTTGGCAGTTAGATATTAGGTCTGAAAATCAGGGAAGAAACAGACTACAGTTACTACTTTACGGATCATCAGTAGATAGACAGTAACTGAAGTTTTTGTGTAGAACAAGATTCCAGAGAAAATGGATAGTGTGAAAAAAAAAAAAAGTTCAAAGATTATGTGCTAGGTGGTTTAACAGAACCAATAACAGTTAACACTTAATGTGCCATTTATGAGCCTAGTACTGTTTTGATCACTTTACTCACATAATCCTTAAAAAGGTAAAACCCTTTGGGGCTACCTGGGTAGCTCAGTGGCTTAGGTTGCGATCTCAGGGTCATGGGATCAAGCCCTGCATCCAGTTCTGCACTTCAGCATGGAGCCTGCTTGGGATCCTCTTTCCTCTCCTTCTACCTCTCCTGCCACTCATGCTCTCTAAAATAAATTTTAAAAATCTTAAAAAAAAATAAAGCCCTTTGGACTTAGGCACTATTATTATTATGCCATTGTATATTTAAGGAGCCAAGGCATAGTACAGTGAAAGAATTTGCTTAAAATTATACATCTGGTGGAGTGATAGGTAGTCTGACTTCAGAAGTTTGCTCTCAATTCTATATAAATCTCAAAGCAGCTCTGGAAGGTAGGGACTTTTATCTCTACAACTTTAAAGTGAGACTCAGAGAAGTTGCCCATATATGTTCATCTCAGTTATAAGCAGGGGTTTAATTTCTCTCATAATCTTTTATGATGTCTAGCCTAGCACTAAATATTTATTTACAAACAGTATTGTTACTAATATTTCTAGTAAGTACACTGAAGGTTAGCTCTCATTTACCTTCCACAAGTTACTTGAAGGTGTACCACAACATAAAGTATAAAGACAGGAGAAAGATGTGGGGACACGAAATAGTGAATCCCACCCAAAGGAACAGTAAAAGGAGGTCCCAGGTCAAAAGCCTTGTAAGAGGCATAGAGATTGGAGCAAGATGGTAAACTCTGAAATGGTGGTCCTCGTGGGGAAAACCTTTGAAATCCAAAAATTAGTACAACTAAAAGCTTAGAAAACTTGGAAATATGATAAAGGAATCTAGCAGAATGTAGAAAACATTGTTTTAACTTGCCTCCAGCCCTATTCTTCAATGTGGGGAATAGGGTCATAATGTTGGTGCCCAAGAGAAGGAATGTTATCCTTGCATCCCACAGTTCTGTAGTCAACTTTTACACAGGAATAATTGAAATTCCTCATTACTGTATTTGCTTGTGACTTTCCCCCCACATTTTTTTAAAGATTTTTTTAATTTTTATTTATTTATGATAGTCACAGAGAGAGAAAGAGAGAGAGAGAGAGAGAGAGAGAGAGAGAGAGAGAGAGAGGGGCAGAGACACAGGCAGAGGGAGAAGCAGGCTCCATGCACCGGGAGCCAAACCGCTGCGCCACCCAGGGATCCCCTGCCCCCCACATTTTAATGCTTCTGAATGGGATGCATTTTACAATCAATGGTGTGTCATGGTTTAACTAGTTGTTTATTTTCTTTTTTTAGTAGTATATAAAATAATGTTTCACCTTACAATCAAAAGCATGTTGAATTTGATCAACTGGGCCAGGCACAGCTTTAAATACTTTATAATATACTGTTTGTCATTTAAACTTAAGTTTGGGGGATCCCCGGGTGGCGCAGCGGTTTAGCGCCTGCCTTTGGCCCAGGGCGCGATCCTGGAGACCGGGGATCGAATCCCAGGTCAGGCTCCCAGTGCATGGAGCCTGCTTCTCCCTCTGCCTATGTCTCTGCCTCTCTCTCTCTCTCTCTCTCTCTCTGTGACTATCATAAATAAATAAAAAAAAATTAAAATAAAATAAACTTAAGTTTGGGACGTCTGCGTGGCTCAGCGGTTACGTGTCTGCCTTTGGCTCAATCCTGGATCCCTGGGATTGAGTCCTGCATTGGTCTCCCTGCAGGGAGCCAGCTTCTCCCTCTGCCTGTGTCTCTGTCTCTCTCTGTGTGTCTCCCATGAATAAATAAATCTAAAAAACAAAAAACAAAAAACAACTTCTTAAGTTTTATACAGCTGTGTTATCATTTTGCAAATAAGGAAGGTCAGGCTTAAGGACTAAATAAAATAAGATGCTTAAGGACAGGGGTCAATTAAGTGGCAAAGCTAGAATTGAAAACCAGGTCTGAGGGATGCCTGGGTGGCTCAGCGGTTGAGCGTCTGCCTTCCGCCCAGGGCCTGATCCTGGAGTCCCGGGATTGAGTCCCACGTCGGGCTCCCTGCATGGGGCCTGCTTCTCCCTCTGCCTGTGTCGCTGTGTCTCTCATGAATAAATAAATAAAATCTTAAAAAAAAAAAAAAAGCAGGTCATGCTCTTCTGGACAGAGGGTAGCTACATTTGTGCTTAGTACAACAGAGTAGTGGAATCACTACCTTGTGCATCAGAAACTAATGTAACATTGTGTTGTCAGCTGTACTTAAAAAAATAAAAAGAAGGGGATCCCTGGGTGGCGCAGCGGTTTGGCGCCTGCCTTTGGCCCAGGGCGCGATCCTGGAGACCCGGGATCGAATCCCACGTCGGGCTCCCGGTGCATGGAGCCTGCTTCTCCCTCTGCCTGTGTCTCTGCCTCTCTCTCTCTGTGACTATCATAAATAAATAAAAAATTTTAAAAAAAATAAGTAAATAAAAATAAAAAAAAATAAAAAGAAGTCAGGCTCTTCTTGTGCTTCAATATTTACCATGAGTGATACGGAGCTGAAAAAAACCCTACTCTGCCCTAGCTTTTAGTCGTTAGTGATCTCGCTCAATTGTGAAGCCTTCTCACCAACTCCATCAAGAGAGGAACCACTCTTGCCCTCATCGATGCTGCTGTAACACTTTGCGAATACCTTAATCATACCTTTTAATAACGTATAACAACATCCAGGGAGAACCTTAATATTTTAGTCACCCTCTCTGACCCTACGGTGCCTACCGCTGTTCCTGACACACAGGGAAAACATTCATTGTTGAAATGAGCCAAGCTCCCTGACGCTAAGGCTCAATAAAAGAGACAAAAAATGCACATAAAACTAAGAAAGGCCAAAAGCAGCGCTATAGAGTAATATAACAGTACATTACTAATATACTAATAGAACGGTGAGCTATACCGCATATTACAGCAGCATATTACAACATGCTAATATGACAGTATATTCATATACACTGTTAAGTACACTGCGGTTCAAGAAAAAAAGGAGCCAACGATAGGAAGCACACGTCAAGGGGGAGACCACGGCTCGGCCGGCTTTCCAGATTTTCATGAACGCACAGACGCGCAAAACAGAATCAGCCTCAGACACCTGCACGCCCCAACGCAGGCGGAAACCAAGCTTCTAAAGACACCGTGTTTCATCTCTACAGCATCTTAGAACTTGAATTTCGAGTCGTCGGCATTGATGAACCCGGGCCTTCCCGCGAACTCGGGATTTCTGGGGTTTTGCTGGCAAACGGGGGACACGGCGAAAACCGGGTGCTCCTTCTGGCGGGGAAACTGTCGGGATGCGAGCGCCGACTGCTCGGGCCGGAGGAGACGCCCGCTCCCGGACTCGGGCTGGTACCTCCCTCCGCTTCCTTCTGCGAAGCCGGCGGAGGCTCGTCTACCTGCAAGCACCGCGGGCGGGCGGGTTCACATCCCCTTCTCCAGGCCGCGCCCCCCGCCCGGCGACGCGCCACGCACTCCCCTCCCCGGCCGCCGCCTCTCTGCCTGCCAAGGCCCCTCCGCCCCGCACAGCGCCCCGACTCCCCGGGCGCTGCCTGGGCTCCTGCCGCGGCCTCCTCGGACCCCCGCGCCCCGCGACTGGCTCGCCGCGGCGGCGCCCTGGCCATACCTCTATTACAACCCTAATCACGCCGCGTGCACAAGTCTCTCTCCTCGGCTAGGACGGGGGTTCCGCGAAGCCAGCAGCCACGACTAACGCTCATTTTCGCGTCCCCAGCTCCAAAGCCGGGGCCTCGCATCTGCCGCAGGAGTTCCGCGAGCTACCTAAACGGCCTCAGAGGTGGGGCTGAGGCAGAAGCCGCGGACGAGGCCGCACCTACGGGAGTCCGGAGGAAAACAGGGCGCCCAGAAGCCCCGCGAGCAGGGGCCGGCACGCCCAGGCCCACCGCTGCAGCGGCCGCCGCCGCCGCCGCCGCCATTGCGTCCCGGAAGTTCAAGCCCCAGCTCTCGCGAGATTGTGCCTGAGCGCCAGCCTCGCCCCGCCCTATTCGGATTCGCACGGCCACGCAACGCTCCGGAAAGAGCGCTTCCGGCGCCGGGGTGCCCCGGAAGCGGAAGTGGGTCTCCCGGCCGTCAGAGCGCTGCTGGGTGTTCCGGAGAGCCCGGGAAGTGGTCGTCGTCGTCGTCTCGTTTTTCGCGGGCTCTCGAGAGCGCTTCCCCCCTGGCGGGTGGGAGTGCAGGAGGGGAAGTGCGAAGATGAGCACCATGTTCGCGGATACGCTGCTCATCGTTTTTATCTCCGTGTGCACCGCTCTTCTGGCCGAGGGTGAGAGCGGCTGCTTCTCTGACGTTTGATGGCGTCCCCCCCCCCCCCGCCCCCGGCCCGGAGCAGCATCCTCGGCCTGGGGACCCTCGCGCCGCCCAAGGGAGCGGCCACCAGCCTTGCTTGCTTGGGGTTGGGATGCGGGGACCTCGGGATCGGGGGCGGGCGGGGGCGGCGTGGAATCCGGTCTAGGCCTGGGGTCGATTTCGCTCTGCGTGTTTGGGGAGACGCCTCCGTTATTTTTTTTTTTGGTTGAAGAGTCCGTCTTAACATTTAAGAAACATTAAGGAAAAAAATAAAACTTAAAAAAAATAAAAAGAAACGTTAACGACTGGTAAATACAAAGCAAAAAGCTGAGATCCCTCCTTACCCCCACAGGCAGCACTAGTCCCAGTTTGTTGTGCCCATTACAGACATTTTTTTAAATTATTATTATTTTTCTATTTTTATTTTATTTATTTATTAAGATTGTATTTATTTATTCATGAGAGAGAGAGAGAGAGAGAGAGACATAGAGGGAGAGGCAGGGTCCCTGCAGGGAGCCGGATGTGGGACTTGATCCCGGGACGCCTGGGTGGGGCAGCGGTTGGGCGCCTGCCTTTGGCCCAGGGCGCTATCCTAGAGACCCAGGATCGAGTCCCACGTTTGGCTCCCGGTGCATGGAGCCTGCTTCTTCCTCTGCCTGTGTCTCTGCCTCTCTCTCTCTCTCTCTCTCTCTCTCTCTCTCTGTGTGACTATCATAAAAAAAAAAAAAAGAGGGAGAAGCAGGCTCCATGCAGGGAGCCTAGCATGGGACTCGATCCTGGGTCTCCAGGATCAGACCCTGGGCTGAAGGCAGGTGCTAAACCGCTGGACCACCAGGGCTGCCCCCCCCCCCCAACACAGACATTTCTAATAGAGAAATTAGCATGTTGCTTTTTTTTTCATATTTCAGGTATAACGTGGGTCCTGGTTTACAGGACAGACAAATACAAGAGACTCAAAGCGGAAGTGGAGAAACAGAGTAAAAAGTGTGAGTATGGATGGCAACATCATTTTGGATACAGTTTCAGCCCCTTGGGTTCTGTGGGTGCTGTTGACAGTAAATGTTTCAGGAGCACCGACGACAGATAAAAAAATAAAGGTGTATCTGGGAATACAAAGATGCATCCAATTTGAACTGAAGGCTGTGTGGAGATGGATGCAAGGTTGGATATTTGATGCAGAATATTTAATACACGTGGGTGTAGAGCACAGGATGTGAGAAGTACTAGTTCATGTGTTCTGAAGAAGAGATCTCATTCAGTTGTGAGGGGCCATTGGAGGCCTCTGGGATGCAGCTGGCCTTGCAGTCCTTGGATGGAGAATGAGCTGAGGGGCACCTGGGTGGCTCAGTGGTTGGGCATCTGCCTTCCGTCCAGGGCGAGATCCCGGGGCCCTGGGATCGAATTCCACATGAGCTCCCTGCATGGAGCCTGCTTCTCCCTCTGCCTATGCCTGTCCCTCTCTCTGTGTCTCATGAATAAATAAATAAAATATTTTAAAAAGAGAATGAGCTGAGGGAAGGAACTCCAGGTGAAGAAGATAGGATATGTGCAAGAATATGGAAAATGTAGCGAGAATATGTATTTGGAGAGACAGGTCGTTATTGTTAGTATCAAGGTAAGTGGTGTCTTGAGGGATAAGGCAAGTTTCAGTTACGTGAGGAGGCTGAAGGAAAGTTTGGAGAAAAGGCTAATAACAAGTAGAGTTTGTGGTTTTTGAAATAAAGCAGGAATTCCACAGGACACAGCTTGAGGCGGCTACTCGAGGTATAATATGAGTGGTTCCTTGTAGGCTTGATGTGGCTTTCACTGGGTTTTTTTTTTCCACCTTAAAAAGATTAAATATAACTTTTGTATTTTAAAGATTCTTCTGACTGTATTTTGTGACGCGTCTGTATGTCCTCATAAGAGTTTAAAGTTTTCTTCCTTACAATATCTTTCTTGACCCACGTAGCAACCATTTGTGGTTACTTGTATAAATGTTATCCTCTCTCTTTTTTTTTTTTTAAGATTTATTTATTTATTTATTCATTCATTCAGAGAGAGAGAGAGAGAGAGACAGAGACACAGGCAGAGGGAGAAGCAGGCACCATACAGAGAGCCCGACGTGGGACCCGATCCCGGGTCTCCAGGATCACACCCTGGGCTGCAGGCAGCGCTAAACCGCTGTGCCACCCGGGCTGCCCTGTTATCCTCTCTTTATAGAAAAGAAGACTGAGGCTCAGAAGGGTTAAATGACATACTAATGTTGCAGAACAAAGGTTTAGAAACCAAACCCAGACTTTTAAAATTATAGTTTACCATTCCTTGATTTATTCAGTGTGGATAACGCACCTCAACATAGTAAAAACCAAACACATTTCTGTTCCTTTCACTAATGTGTCTTCCAGTATTTCCGTTTGTGACAAATAGTACCTCCCTGCTTCTGATAGTGCAAGCCAGAAACCCTGATACACTTTCTTCACTTTCCAGACACCACACTCTCTTGCTTTTGCTCTTATCCTGCAGGTCATTTTAGGTGGGGGTGGGGCTGGGGAGAGGCAGAGGGAGTCGGAGAGAGAATCTTAAGCAGGCTCTGTGCCCAGCACAGGATTCAAAGCTGGGGTTGATCCCAGGACCCTGAGATCAGGACCTGAGCCACCTAGGTACCCCTTGCCAGTCATTCTTTTGCAATTTCCTTGTTGGTTCCTCTTCTCAACCTCTTGTTGGGCACCCCAAACTTGTTTTTATCCCCTACACTTACTCCCTTGGTAAATTCAATCACGTGCTCTATTTGGTAGTAACTCCCAAATTTATGTCGCTAGCTCTCTCTCCTTAATGCAAGATCTATATATCCTTGGGGTGGGTAGGTGGCTCAGTCGGTTGGGTGTCTGCCTTCATCTCGGGTCATGATGCCAGCGTCCTGGGATGGAGCCTCTCAGTGGGCTCCCTGCTCAGCAGGGAGTCTGCTTCTCCCTCCCCCTTTCCTGTGTTCTCGCTTGCTCTCTCTCTCTCTCTCCCCCTCTCAAATAAATAAATAAAATCTTAAAAAAAAGATCCACATATCCTTGTAATAGCATTGTGTGGTGACAGATGGTAGCTACCCTTGTGGTGAGCCTCGCATGATGTGTAGAGAGGTTGAATCCCCATGTTGTACCCCTGAAATTAGCATCATGCATCAACTATACTCAAAAGATTCATGTATCAATTTGTCAATTACACTGTAATGTCTACCATGTGCATTTCAAACCCAGCATGTCCAAATTGAATACTTTTTCCTCACTTCTGAACCTGCTTCATTTATAGCTTTCACAATCTTGGCCAATGGCAAATCTATCCTTCTACTTGCTCAAGCCATAATCCTTTCGCAGTTATCTTGAACTCTTCTCTCACCCCCCACGTCTAATACTTTTGGGTTGCCTTTAGACGTATCCAGTCTGACCACTTTCCATTACCTCCATTGATAATGACCTTCATCTTTTGCATGTATTATTGCAGCAGTCTCCAGCAAATGTTCCTGTTTCCCTACAGTCTGCTCCCAATATAACAGCCATAATAATCCTTTTTTTTTTTTTTTTTTTTTAAGTAAACTCCACATCCAGTGTGGAGCCCAGTGCAGGACATGAACTAAGAACCCTGAGATCAAGACCTGAGCTGAGCTCAACTGACTAAGCCACCCAGTCACCCCTAGAATAATTCTTTTTAAAGCCTATTAGATCATGTCCCATCTCTGCTCATAACCCTGTCGCGGTGTCCCATTTTTACTAAAGAACAGCCAAAGTCCTTAGAGTGGCTTGCAGAGCTTCCCCTTGTACTATTCCGATATTCTTTCCCTTCTCACACACTCTGCTTCAACGACACAACCTGCTTGCTATTCCCCATTGTGCATCAGGCACACTCCTGTGCCAAGACCTTTCTACTGGCTGTTCCTTCTGCCTGGAATGTTCTCTATGATATCTGCCTTGCTGACCCTTATATTTTCTTCAGATCTTCATTCAAAGTTTACTTTTCTAAGTTCTTTCTTTTTTTTTTTTTAATATTTTATTTATTCATGAGAGACACACAGAGAGAGGCACAGACATAGGCAGAGGGAGAAGCAGGCTCCATGCAGGAAGCCTAATGTGGGACTTGATCCTGGATTCTGAGATCATGCCCGGGGCTGAAGACAGATGCTCAACCGCTGAGCCACCCAGGGGCCCCAACCTTTCTAAATCTTAACCTAACTACGTTGTTTAAAACTGCAGCCCATGGATCCCTGGGTGGCTCAGCGGTTTAGCGCCTGTCTTTGGGCCAGAGTGCGGTCCTGGAGCCCTGGGACTGAGTCCCATGTTGGGCTCCTGGCATGGAGCCTGCTTCTCCCTCTGCCTCTCTCTCTGACCCTCTCTCTGTGTCTATCATAAACATATAAATTTTTAAAATCTTTAAAAAAAATAAAATAAAACTGGGATCCCTGGGTGGCGCAGCGGTTTAGCGCCTGCCTTTGGCCCAGGGTGTGATCCTGGGGTCCCGGGATCGAGTCCCATGTCAGGCTCCCTGCATGGAGCCTGCTTCTCCCTCTGCCTGTGTCTCTGCCTCTCTCTCTCTCTCTATGTGTGACTATCATAAATAAATAAAAATTTAAAATAAAATAAAACTGCAGCCTGTTCATCTCCTCTACTACTGGTCCTGATCTTCCATACCTGCTCTTCCCCCTGTCCCCCACCCCGCATGGCTCTTGTCCCCCCCACTTTTTTTTTAAAGATTTTATTTATTTAGGGATCCCTGGGTGGCACAGCGGTTTGGCGCCTGCCTTTGGCCCAGGGTGTGATCCTGGAGACCCGGGATCGAGTCCCACGTCGGGCTCCCGGTGCATGGAGCCTGCTTCTCCCTCTGCCTGTGTCTCTGCGCCTCTCTGAGTGTGTGTGTGTGTGTGACTATCATAAATAAATTTTTAAAAAATTTTAAAAAAAAGATTTTATTTATTCATGAGAATACACAGAGAGGAGAGAGGCGGAGACACGGGCAGAGGGAGAAGCAGGCTCCATGCAGGGAGCCTGACATGGGACTCGATCCCAGGTCTCCAGGATCACGCCCTGGGCTGAAGGCAGCGCTAAACCGCTGAGCCACCCGGGCTGCCCATCTCGTCACTTTCCAATATACGATCTATTGTGTTACGGTTTATTGTTTATCTCCACCTGCTAAAACTAAAGCTTCACTAGGACAGCGTTTTTGTTGTTGCTCTGATACATCCTAGCGCCTAGAACGACGACTGGCACTTAGTAAATGTGTAATAAATACTTGCTGATTTGAACCTTCTTCTCTCACCCTGTATGTGCAGTCCACTCTCAAGCCCTCTTACTGTTCTCCTCCGGGAAAGTTTGCAGTCTCTCCACATCCTTCCAGTTCTGCTGCCAGCACCTAATCTAAACTTCTGTCATGTTTCTTTTAAGATTTTTTAAAGATTTTATTTATTTGAGAGAGAGTGTGTCTGTGAGAGAGAATAGGAGCAGAGTGAGGGGCACGGGGAGAAGCTGGCTTCCCACTGAGTGGAAAGCCTGACGTGGCGCCCAGTCCCAGGACTCCGAGATCATGACCCAAGCCGAAGGCAGATGCCTTACCAATTGAGCCACACAGGCACCCTTCTGTCATGGGCATCTACCGCATGTGATCTACTGCAATGGCTTCCTCATTGGTTTCCCTGCAGCCACTCAAATTTATTCCTTACAGTACATCCAAAGTAATTTTTCAAGACAGAAGTCTTATCATGATACTTGCCCTTCTCAAGATACTCAGTTTTTCCTTGTTGTTTTTAGGTTAAAAGTGGGGCTTGGAAGGTCTAGCACGGTCTGGTTCCTCTTCCCTTCTCCAACTACATCCTGTGTCATGTTATTCCTTGCTCTATTCTGTAGCCACTCAGGCCTTCTTTTCCATCCATTGGACTAGTCTTGCTTTATCCTACTGTGGGTCCAGTCCTTTCTATCTGCTGTTCCCTCTACCTGGAATAACTTTCCCTTCTCATTCTGTCTTATAAATTCCTATTCATTCTTTAGCTCTCAAAACCTTGTTTAATCTTTCAGACAGAGTCAACTCTCCTTCTTTGGGGCTCTACTTTATTCATAAATGTCTCCTCAGAACAGATTTATCTAGCCTCAGTCCAGTCCACCATAAGACCAGGTAAATATTCATAGTACCATCTATGTTTCTCTCACCTTCTTGGTCTTCTCCTTTTTATTTTATGCAATTATGGTTAAGTGCTAAGTAGTTTTGGGACTTCTGGTGGGGGGAAGAAATATTTTTTTTGTTTCTCTGGTTATGATAGAAACCATAAAACATTCAATGTTTTCTGTCCATTTTGTCTTTTTAAATGTTACTTGTATAACATCTTGTAGAATTTGACTTAATTTCCTTTTATGATCTCATACTAGTAAGTTCAGTGTAAATCTTTCTCCGTCATGTGTATGTCAGGCTTTATTTTCTTATTTACATAAAAGAGTAACTGTACTTAGATACGAGTGCGTATATTCACACCACACACATACACATTTTATTTTAGTCAGCACTTTACATTTTCACTTGCAATACTGGAGTCAAATCAAATTTTACTTCTCTTTGTTAGAGGGGTAATACCAATTTTAGGATTCAGGTAGCATAATTTATCTGCCAGTTTTCTTTAATGCACCTTTTATTTGTTTTTAAAGATTTTATTTACTTATTCATGAGCAATACAGAGAGAGAGAGAGAGAGACAGAGACATAGGCAGAGGGAGAAGCAGGTTCCCCGAAAGGAGCCCAGTGTAGGACTTGATCCTGGACCCCGGGATCATGCCCTGAGCCGAAGGCAGACTCTCAACCGTTGAGCCACCCAGGCGTCCCTAATACACCTTTTAGAAATAGTACATGTACTGTACTGTTCACTGGTAAAGGAGATATACTAAGATAATATACAGAACAAAGAATGCAAATACATTAAGTAATGGTAATTTTTGGCGTACCTATTCTTAGCCTATTTATAGGTGGACTATGAGAGGTATATAGATCAAAGATAGTATAAAATTAAATATATTACATCATTCCTCTTCAAAAGGTTACTTTTATTTTGTCATTGTATTAGTTGAAATGCATACAAAGAAGTTGGTCTTAGCTTATTCTGTTTGTTTTTAAGTAATCTCTGCCCAGCATGGGGCTTGAACTCAGAATCCTGAGATCAAGAATTGCATGCTTCACTGGCTGATCCAGCTAGGTGCCCTGGTTTTAGCTTTTTTGACTGTCTTGATCTCTTTACCGTGTGCATATGTCTGTCTTGCCAGTTTTCTGTATCATATTTGTTATTCAGTTGTCTACCTCACTAGATTACTCTTTAGGGGCACGGATCGTGTTTATCTTTTTATCTACCTAGAACAATGCCAATTACTTAGGCACCAATAACTGAATAAATGAATTCCTACTTTCTTTAGTGAATATGAGAATGAAACTGTAATTAATCATAGTTATCTGAGGGCAGAATTTGAAAACTGCTTAGACTCAACCAACGGCAATCACCCTAGCTGATGGCCTGAAAGCCATCTTAGTTCTTATTATGTTTCACTAGTTATTGTTATTGTGTTCTTATATTATCCTTTTTGGGTGTTTGGTTGATTTTTTAGTCTTGGATTGCTGTTTGCCTTCTCTTGTCAGTAGTTTGGGAGCAGATCAATTGACTTGCTCATGACCATAATCAAAGGCAATGTGTAACTTTCTTGTGAGCTTTTTTTCATTGGTTCAGCTATGATAAAGCATCCTTCATTTCTTTAGCATAATGCATAATTAATTTTTACTGTGTTATTGTGTGTTGTTTACAGTGGAAAAGAAGAAGGAAACAATAACAGAGTCAGCTGGTCGACAACAAAAAAAGAAAATAGGTAAGATGAATTATTGGTCTGCACAAAATTTAGAAAAAATAAATTTTGGAAATTTGGAAAATTAAAATGGAAAAAAAATTAGGTGATGAAAATATAAAATTGTTAACAGTGGTGATTTGTGTTTGTATAATTTTGTAGTTTATAAAGCACTTGCATATGTTATCTTACTTGATTCTCTCTTGTCCATTTTGTGAGGTAAATTTAAGCAGTTGCTACTTTTTGCTCTTAGCTTTGAAATTCTGTTTCAGTAAAATGATGCTGACAGTTGTGGCTTTTGAACTTAGCTGAGGGATCTTGGCATAGTTTGTAGAAGTGTATTTTTTTCCCAAATCTTAGATGATTATTTCCAGTTAAGTCTGAGTTACTTGTATTGTTGCCATGGCTTCCTTACTGAGAATTGACTGGTGATGGAAATCCACCAGGGGGTAGGAAATTTGTTGCTGAGTAATTTTTATCTGATCTGGAAAGTAATGACATGCTTTTGGTTTTTCAGTGTAATTTAGAACTTAATTACAGAATGTAATTCTGTTCCAAAAAGACAATTTATAAATGATTACATAGGATTTATATTTTTACTTTAAGATGCTTCCTGATTCTGAAATCAGGAAAAAAATGTGAGACTGTGTGTTTTGTTCAGAAATTATGTCTCTACGTAAATCGCTGCCATTATATCTAGGAGATAATTCTACTGGGCTGAACTATGCCACTGTCCTGTTCTCATTAAGGCTTTTGAATTTCGTGTTCCTGGTGCTTTTTAAATGGCCTACTCATTTAGTCTTGTGGTAGGATGCTACTGTGCATCTACTCTGTGTCAGTTGCTCTTGTATGTACCAGAGAAACAAAGTAGAAAAAAATTCTATTAGGAAGTCTGTAGAGAGGGAAAACAGACCAGCATGGTATGATAAAGATATATTCTGAGTGTTAAAAAAGTAGAGAAAGGGGCAGCCCAGGTAATTCAGCGGTTTAGCACTGTCTTCAGCCCAGGGCCTGGTCCTGGAGACCCAGGATCAAGTCCCACATCAGGCTCCCTGCATGGAGCCTGCTTCTCCCTCTGCCTGTGTCTCTGCCCCTCTCTCTCTGTGTGTGTGTCTCTCATGAATAAATAAATAAAATCTTTAAAAAAAAAAAAAAAAAAGTAGAGAAAGGAGAGCTAAACCAAGCTAGGGAATTAGGTTTTCTTTGAAGCGTTAATGTTTTAGTTGAATCTTGAAGCTTTAGTGCAAATTAGTTAAATACAAATATAAATAAATAATATAGTGGTCAAAACTTATTGAGCACTTACCATCTGCAACACACTGAGGTAAGCACGTTACATGTTTTTAAATTCTTTAACAACTAATTGTATGCAGTAGTGAAGTGTTACTTCATTTTTATAGATGAGAAAATTGAAGCTTGAGTTAAAATATTTGCCCTCAGCCAGTGGTAGAGGGAATTAAGTTAGTGGTAGAGAAGGGGGTCATTTGCAACTTTGGAATCTAATTTTAAGCTCTGTACATTCTATATAAAGGTGTAGAAGAATCAAATAGCAAGATATATACCTAAAATTAGAAATAGTCTAGTATAACAAACAAAAGGAGGCAATGTGTAAAGTATAAACAAACAAGGCTAGAGAAACAAGTAGGGATTCCTGGGTGGCTCAGCGGTTTAGTGCCTGCCTTTGGCCCAGGGCGCGATCCTAGAGTCCCAGGATTGAGTCCCACATCAGGCTCCTTGTGTGGAGCCTGCTTCTCCCTCTGCTTCTCTCTCTCATTGTGTCTCTCATGAATAAATAAATAAAAATCTTAAAAAAAAAGAGCCTGTTTATAAAGATCTTTATAAATTAAACTAAGGTAAGGAGTTTAACTTGTATTCAGAAGGCGTTCCATCTTTCCATAACCATTAAATGATTTATTTTTATTATTTTTTTATTTTTTTAAAGGCAAAGCTTTATTTTTTAAAAAAATTTATTTATTTATGATAGTCGAGAGAGAGAGAGAGAGAGAGAGAGAGGCAGAGAGGCAGAGACATAGGCAGAGGGAGAAGCAGGCTCCATGCACCGGGAGCCTGACGTGGGATTCGATCCCGGGTCTCCAGGATCGCGCCCTGGGCCAAAGGCAGGCGCTAAACCGCTGAGCCACCCAGGGTTTCCCCATTAAAGGATTTAAACAGGATTGATTGACATCAGATTTTAAGAAAGACAACTCTAGCAATAGTTGGGAGATAAATAGGAGAAGGGATCATCCTGGAGGTACGAAGTCATGAGACTTTTTAAGTATTCTAGGTGCAAAAATGGCAAGAACCTGAACTTAGGTAAATTGCCACTGATTTTACTAGGTGTAGCTCTTTGGTAATGGTCTTGAGTAGAGCCATTAATTTGAAGTTGGAATGTCTTACATTTGAACCAGAGATTTTAGGTTCCCATTAATATATATATATATATATATATATATATATATATATATATATATATATTTATTTATTTATTATTTGAGAGAGAGAGAGAAAGAGAAAGAGAGTGAGTGCAAGAGGGGGAGGGAGAGAATCTCAAGCAGATTCCCTGCTGAGTGCAGAGCCTGATATGGGGCTCAGTCTCACTACCCTGACATCATGACCTGAGCTGAAACTAAGAGTCAGATGCTGAACTGACTGAGCCATCCAAGCAGCACTTAGGTTCCCCATTCTTTTTTTTTTTTTTTAATTCTATCTTTTTATTTGAGAGAGAGAGCACAAGCTGGCAGGGGGTGGGTGGTAGGCAGAGGAAGAGGGAGAAGCAGGCTCCCTCCTCAGCGGGGAGTCTCCTCCTGAGGAGGGAGCCTGACTCAGGGCTGGATCCCAGAACCCGGGGATCATGACCTGAGCCAAAGGTAGATGCTCAACCAATCAAACATGGAGCTCCATCTCACGACCCTGGCATCATGACCTGAGCCCAAATTAAGAGTCAGATGCTTAACCACCTGAGCTGCCCAGGTGTTCCTGAGGCTGCACTATTAATTAATATATACTTCTTTCTCTTTTTGTTGTTCACCTTCCCCCACTTTATAGTGTTTTTCTAACATTTAGGTTTTGCCTACACCTAAGTTTGTTTGGCTTGTGTCCTACTGTCTTTTCTATATACGTGTTACCCACAATGCGCTCTCTAGACCCACTACATCAGTATTGCTTTGAGATATTTGTTAAGAGTGAAAGGTTCTGAGTCTTCCTCCCACACTACTGAATCAGAGTCTCTGGATATGGGACCCAGGAGTCTATTTTAACAAACTTCCCCAATATTCTCAGACAAACTAAAGTTTGAGAGCCATTGTGTTGTATTATCATTTTTCTGTTTGTACTTCGACAGTCAGTTGATTTACTGTCGCCAAGATTTTCTGTTTTAAATTTCTGAGAGAAGGAATCTGGTTGGCTCAGCTCGTCTCTTTACACCATAGGTCATGAGAAAGCTTATGAACTGACTACCTTTTGGGTCAGTAGTGGCAGAGCAGGGGCGATAGGAATCTTTGTAAGGCTGACCCTCAATGAAGACTATGGTAAGAGGCCAGTATCCCCAGAAGTTGGCTGGGGAAGGGAGTGCAGGCATTCTGAAGCTTGACTGAGGGGGGTGGGTATCTCTTTTCTTAGTGACTTGTAGATATGAGAGGAAATTCTTAAAATTTAACTTATTCTGGGCTCCTGAATTTATATACTCATTCTAGGTCTTTATCTATACTACTTGGATTTTCCATAAAAGAAGATTGTTTCAGGCATTTAATTTAAATTTTGCTTCCTCTCCATTACCAAATCTACATGAAATTTCAAGGGTATATTATTAATTGGCTTTCCATTCAACACAATTCAGAATGTAGATGGGATGGGATACCTAACTCTTTGAATCTAGAGAGAGGCATCTGTTATTTTGATCATCTCTTCCTTATTTGAAAGTGTTCTCCATCTCCCAAACTGTTGATTATATGAGACCACCCAGTTGCCTCCTGTGTTGATTTCCATTCTTTGACAGAAAAGACACTAGTTGTTGACCTAGGTAAATGATGTAGTGTTCCTCAAAATTGGCTTGATATCTGTTCGTTCTGTGGTCAGAATAGATGTCATCATTGCTACTAGTTGGTTCCCATAGCTACTAGAAATATAGCCTCCTTATAGAGTATTCCCTTTTAGAATTTAAATTTTTCATTTTGCCTGTCATCTGGGATAATGAGTCATTCTAAAACACAAATGTATGTTCATATTTTTCATATTTCCAGTTCCTTCTCTTCATCAAGTTTCCTCAGCTTTCTTTTTTTTTAATTTTTATTTATTTATTTATGATAGTCACACACACACACACACAGAGAGAGAGAGAGAGAGAGAGAGAGAGAGAGGCAGAGGGAGAAGCAGGCTCCATGCACCGGGAGCCCGATATGGGATTCGATCCCGGGTCTCCAGGATCGCGCCCTGGGCCAAAGGCAGGCGCTAAACCGCTGCGCCACCCAGGGATCCCCTCCTCAGCTTTCTTATAGTAAGAGAGTATATAGAATTCCTAGGGGCACATAACAGTGTATGTTCTCATTCATTTGGGGAATATGAATAATAGTGAAAGGGAATATAAGGGAAGGGAGAAGAAATGTTTGGGAAATATCAGAAAGGGAGACAGAACATAAAGACTCCTAACTCTGGGAAACGAACTAGGGGTGGTGGAAGGGGAGAAGGGCGGGGGGTGGGGGTGAATGGGTGACGGGCACTGAGGGGGACACTTGACGGGATGAGCACTGGGTGTTATTCTGTATGTTGGTAAATTGAACACCAGTAAAAATTAATTTATTAAAAAAAAAAAAAAGAATTCCTAGGGGCAGCCTGGGTGGCTTAGCGGTTTAAGCACCTGCCTTTGGCCCAGGGTGTGATCCTGGGGTCCCAGGATCGAGTCCCATGTCAGGCTCCCTGCATGGAGCCTGCTTCTCCCTCTGGCTGTGTCTCTGCCTCTCTCTCTCTCTCTCTCTCTCTCTCTCTCTAATAAATAAATAAAATCTTTAAAAAAAAAAAACAATTCCTTC